CCCCCAGGCCCCCCCCCCCCCCCATGTTCCCCGCAGGCGGTGTGGGGGGGCTCTGCTTACTCTCTTCTGGGGCAAGCCCCGCTCCCAGCACCGCCCCGGGGACTTGGGGGGGAAAGTCATGGCTTCCCCCGGCTGCTGTGCAGGGAATGGCATCTCCCCAGGGAGCTCAGCCCCTCAGCTGGACAGCAGGAGGGCCTTTGCAGGCTGCTTGCCCTCCATGCCTGATGCACGCATCTTCCCCCACCTCCTCTCACACCCTGACAGAAAACAGGTGAACAGGAACAAAAGCAGCCACAGCAAATACTACAGCGGTGATGTTTCCTGCCCAAGAAATGAGAGCGAGTTCTGGGCACTCGGGGCAGATCGCAGCCCACAGTGAGGTGAGGAAACTGCTGTACGGGGTCACAGGGAGAATATATTTCCCCCACTCCACCCCCTGCTTCCCTCTCCCATGTCTTTAGTTACTTAACGGCAGAAAGTAACTGAGTACTTCAGCACTTTGTTGTCAAGCAAAAGTCAGGAAAAAGGTTATTGGTAGCGAGCAGACAAATCCCACATCATTTCACTGCAGTCTGTCAACACTCAAGGGAAGGAACCTCTTTTTTCCATACACACATAGTTTCTCTGCCACAAAGTTTTCTCCAGCGCTTGGCCCGGAGCAGCTGTGATAACGTCACCTTTCCTTTTCTGTCTGGATCGCTTCTTTCCCTGCATCTTTCAAAGGGACCTTTGCCATTGTTTCATATCCCACAATTTAGGGCCTTGGCAGGTGGAGTGAGCTGGTCTGCAGCAGCCATTAGAGCAGTGCCGGAAAAAGAATGAATCACCGGGGTTTTTCGGGTTTTTTAACGTTGGCAACTTTTCTAAAGTACAATGTGTATGTTCCTCTTTGTGAAAGAACACTAAGGCATTACTAAAGACTTGATGATGAAGCTTGTTATTCATTGATTCAGGGCTCAGTAATAAATCACTGCTTGCAGCACCATTGCCATTACATTTTAGCCATAATTGAATTTTTGAAATTTGTTGTCGGTAATCCAAGAATACCTCCGTCCTGCATCAGTAACGAGGCGAGATGCGAAGTGCTGTCTTCGGTTCTTCACGGTTGCAGTACACATCCCGATAATTTAAGATGCATTGAAGAATAAGTGCATAAACAAATGTGTTGTGTTACCATGTGGAGCGGAGGTTGGGTGATGACTTGCTTTGATCTGCGTCCTGGGGAAAGTGGCTTGAAGCATGATCCCACCTTTTATTCATGCTGAATAAGATTGTGTGAATAAGAGGATAATTAAATGTTCCTTTCTTCGGTGCGTCCAAAGAGATGACTGTGTGGAGGATGAATTTGATTTAATCCATGTGCAGGTTAAGAGAAAAAAACATGTCGGCGTACGGGCAACAACAGATGCAATTGCAACACAGCTTTTTGACAGTCTTATGAGGAGCGGCTGAGGGACCTGGCGGTGTTCAGCCTGGAGAAGAGGAGGCTGAGGGGAGCCCTCATCGTTCCCTACAACTGCCTGACAGGAGCAGGGAGCCAGGGGGCAGGGGGGGCTTGGTCTCTTCTCCCAGGGAATGGGCAATAGGATGAGAGGAAATGGCCTCAAGTTGTGCCGGGGCAGGTTTAGGTTGGCCATTGGGAAAAATTTCTTCCCTGAAAGGGTTGTCAAGCCCTGGAAGGGGCTGCCCAGGGGAGGGGTCGAGTCCCCATCCCTGGGGGGATTTAAAAGCCGGGCAGCCCAGGTGCTTAGGGCCAGGGTTTAGTGGTGGGATGGCAGGGTTAGAGTAACAGTTGGGCTTGGTGATCTTAAAGGGCTTTTCCAACCTAAATGATTCCATAATTCTATGACAACACCACAGCAGAGCTCTTCTGGGACCGAGGCGCACCTGGAAGGGCCCATGGGGAAGACAGGAAAAACACTTTGCCATCTAATGCTCCCAGGCTCAAGGAGAAAGGAGCTGGTAGGTGTTCCCTGTAAATAAAGAGTAGCTTCGAAGGCACACTAAGCTCCCTATGGAAACAGCTTGAAAGACCCTCAAAAGTATGACCTCATACCTCCTTTGCTCAGTTCGAGTAGTTATTTTAAGGGTAAACTGTTGTAAATTACTTTTTACCTCCATTATTACTATGTGGACATTGTCTTGTTTCTTTATAAAGTTTTGAGGTGGTTGAGAACAAGAAGGCCTGGACCATATCTTTTATGCATTCTTCCTCCAGCCTATTCACCTCAGCCCACCCAAGCCAAATGGGGAAATGTCAGTCACACCGTTCAAGGTTCACAGCAGAATAAAGAGATTTAATATCCAAACAAACATGAGAAGGCTCTGAGTGACCTTAGAAATGAACACATCTCCTAATGCTACCCGTTCTCCAGTCCTCTGTGGCTGCTCTGTTGTTGTGGCGTGAGATTTGCAAAAAAAATGTTGCTTTATGACTGACTTTCAGAAACGTGCAGGGTGTGGAGGGACAGCACTGGTTTAATCCACTAGTCACCACAGCCCAATCCCCTTCTTACCCTCACACTTTTTTAGAGGGATGATACTCCTCCACGGGAGCAACCCCAGATACTTTTACATTCATGAGGCTGCAGAGCCCCATGACTCTGGTCTCGACCAGCCTGAGGTGTCTCCAAGACCACCCTGGCACTGCCCCCCTCTGCTTAGTCCTGATCTAAGGGGGATTCTTGGGCTTCTAGGTTTTTTCTCCGTGCAGGTGGTGGGAGTTAAATTATGGGCCAACACAGGTTGAGTAACTTTTACCATAGGTCCTTAATGTTCTCTCTTATTGCAGGGTTTGTCCATACCTCCTCACGTACCGAAGTGGTCCTGCCTGCCAGAGGTGCTGTGCTAGTGTTAAAATTCAGTGCTGGTGTTTGCAGGAAGGCAGAGGTTTCTCTGCTGAGATTTGTGCTGAGAACAGCTGCCTTTACAGCCAATGTTGGCCTCTAATTGCACCACCACTCAAAGGGGGAAGCAGGATCATGGGTGAAAACTTTCCTGAGCCCCGAGGACTGCTGTGAGACTGCCCACAGCCTTCCTTTGGGCAAACCCCACTAATTGCCCATATCCTCCGAGAAAAGCCCCGAGCGGTTCTGCAGAACACCGGCTCCTCTGGTGGGATGAAGTTCTGGTGGTGGAGGTCAGAAGGTGCAAATGCCACTTTGTAAAATCAACACCACAGTGCAGAGCAGGGGCTTTCTTGCCCAGGGGGGGTAAGCTCGGCACTGGTGAGTGATTTTTTTCAGCGATAGTGATTTTTTCTCATGTTCTTTTTCAGCGCTGCCACACAGCGGCAGAGTTGAGGCTGCTTCTAAACGGGGAAGAGGCTGAAGGTTCAGAAGAAAATGCTCTTCGGTTAGAAATTACCTGGTTCTCCTGCTAGGGACACCCTGTCATCTTTCAAGGTGTTAACGTGGAGGTGTCAACGTTAACTTTTTCCTTGCTCAGTAATACTCTTACTCGTGATTTTAGGTTGTTTTTCTAAGGAGCTGAGGTAAAGGGAATTTTGTGGTCAGTCTACAGACCTTCCCCCCAACACAACCACAATACTGCTCCTCATATTGGCCAAGGTTGGGGTTACAAAAATATCAAGCCTCCATAAGTTTCATTAAAAGAGTTGTCCAGTTAGAGAGAGTACTACTGGCGCACAGAAAGAGGCTGAAGCACAAGCTCAAATTATTGTTGGACAAAGAGAAAAGGGATTATGAGTATCTTAACCGCAGGGAGGGCGTCAGTCGGCAAGAACACTTGTCAGAAAAGGGGACATTCAGCCGTGAGGCACCAAGCCCAGCAAACAAGGCCGATACATTCTCCTGCCCACAGAGCTGTTTGGTTTCGATACAGGATTAAAGATGATAAAGTGAAAAATGCCTGTGTGATCAAGAAATCATCCTTTTCTTGATGACGTCTGTGCCTCAGGAAATCAGATCCCAAAGGTAGGAGTGGGAGTAGGAAGACTCTGCTTCCTCTGGGTTTCCTTTTGAGCTGAAAATGAAAAAAAAGAAAAAAAGACCAAAACACTTGAATGTCTCGACATTTTCCCCAAAGTTAAAGCCAGGGAGATGAACAAATTTTCCAAATTCAGCCAGTTCTGTAAGTGGTCAAAAACATTAAAAAAAAAAAAATCCACACAAATTCACCCACTCTTTTCCCTTTTTTGCAGAATGTTAATGCATCTATATTTGAAATGTGAACAAATTGAACCAGCTCTATTTTTACATATTTTCTCTTTTTTTTTTTTTTAAGTACCCTTACATGTGCTGACGATAAGCTGAACACTAAACCCGACGAATGAGCAGTAGGAGCACAGAGGCTGCCCAGGCCTGACCTTATGAAGTACCACTTAGAGACAGCAGAGTGCTGGCCAGGTAATTACTTCCAAACTCGGACCAAGCTCTGCAGGCCCTGGATGAGGTACGGCATCATCAGAGCCCTGACCTCATTTGCAGAGCCTGCATTTATGAAATGCCAAGAGATTATGCAGAGAGCTTTCCTGTGTGTAATCATATAAGGCAGGAGACATGAAGTCATTGTCCTAAAGCCCAAGGTGAAAAGGCTGACCCTGAACTTCCCAGGCAGGCCTAGGGCTGCATTTTGTACTGCTGTGGGAAGAAAA